AGAGTTTCGGATACAGAGAGTGAGTGCGAGTACGGACCAGACTCAAGCTTTAAGACTTGAGTCGCTACGCGCTCTAAGTCCGTGTCGGAGCAGAGGAGTAACTTAGTCGATATTCGAACTAAGGAGTTAGAGTACAGGAGCTAGGAGTTTATATACGCGGAGGCACGGTTCGGAGCTCGTATCGATAGGGAGTTATCGGAACTATGAACCATGTGGAATAAGGAGTTATCGGAACTATGAACCATGTGGAACTGTCAATCGTAAGGACGGAGCATATGGTTACGAAGCTGATAATCGGAGGTAGAATAAGTCCGAAGGGAATATCAAACCGTTAAAGGCATATCGATCGTGAACGTCGGAGTTGAATCCGTTATGACTCGAGAACTACCGGGACGTTGAGTCGCCGGAGGACTATTCATGTGATAACGTAGGTCCGGTGCCGGAGCTGCTACTCCGATGGCGGACAACCCGGAACGACCGGAGCTATCGTACTTGGCCCGGTTACGGCCCAAGATCTGACACATGACAGATGTATTTAAGGTTGTTATGGACAGTGAGGTACATTATGATCTTCAGTATACTTAATGTATATGACTGAAACTCGTACCAAGGGAAATGTGACAGTCGATGAGAAGATAACCACATTTGACGTTGCTGACCTCCTACACAACCTCCTTGACCTTGAGTCAAGGAATTCAGTCCCTCGGTACACCGGTGAGTTCTTCACACCCTTGAGTAAGCCCAATCTGATTTGATGCATGCTTCAGACGAACTGCGAACATGTCCGCAAATTGCGGCCTTCTTGATGCACCTGCCTGACCAACACAATCCCCTACGTATCCTGGCTGGGGGTGATCCCTTGTACACAAGCTTTGTAGATTACTGGGGTGATGACGTATCGGGAAACCGATCAAAGTCGTTCAACAAACATAATAATGCGTACATCGTCCACAGAAACTTGCCGCGCTCCCTCCTACAACAAGAGTTTCACATTCATTTCATATCTACATCTCAAAATGCGATTATTCCAGAGCAATTCAAGGCCTTCAAAGAGAGCATCGTGTAAGCCTTTGTGATACGACCAGTTACATGGACTGCACTGACCCACATGGTAGTTCCACCCACACCCAACCGCTCAAAGTCCGGGATGCCATGACGGGGGAACAGGCTGGCATTCGAATATTTGTCAACAGTGATCCTGGAGACAACCCAATGCAGAGTGAGATTAGCTCGCATATTGGAGGCAGCGGCAATTGCAAGTGCCGGAAATGCAAGGTCGGGGCGAGCCGAAAGGCCAATGAGGCACCGGAGTTATACCATGCCCTCTTTCAGGTACGTGCTCCGACTCTGCCATTTACACAACTCTGACGTATACTTTAAGGCTGGAGAACAACGCACTTCAGACGATACGTTGCAGGAAGTCCGTGCACAGTTTGAAATAGCATGCAAGGGTGTGGCTCAGCATGTCAAAGACCGACAAACAGAAACAGGTGTAAAGGATACATATGCGCAGTCCTGGGTGGAAGAACTGATCAGTCGTTTCAAATCCATGAAAGTGGCTGATCCATCAAGGTCAAGGGAATCCATCTCGCAAGAACTTTTGACTTGGGTTCACAGTCACACAGACGACATATTGAATCCATTTCTGACCATGCCAGGTAAGGCCTCATCCGACGATACACACTTGTTATTCACTGAATCTGTTTCACAGGCTTGGACGTGAATCGCGACACACCAGTTGAGCTTCTACACACGGTATTACTCGGTTTACTGAAGTACATCTGGCACTGGACGCATACGGAGTGGAAAGAACCACAAAAGAAGACCTTTGCCCTTCGGCTTGCATCCACAAACACAGATGGCCTTTCAATTCATGCCATCCGTGCCGATTACATTATGCACTATGCAGGCTCGCTCATCGGTCGACAGTTCAAGGCTCTTGGACAGGCAGCTGCATTCCACGTCTATGATTTATGCTCACCTACCCACTACCAAGTCTGGAAAGCAGCCGGAGAATTAGACGCTCTGCTCTGGATGCCAGAGATAGACGATCTTGATATTTACCTGGTACGTACCTACTACTATCATTCCCTCATAAAAAGGCTGATCACTCTCTTAGACGGACATCGAGGTGGCGGCAGCTAATGTGGTAGATACGATTGCCTTGCTCGACCCGTCGAAAATGGTCGAGAAGGTCAAACTCCATCTCATTGCTGCCCACTTGGCAGAGGATGTCCGCCGACACGGCAACCTGATCAATGCCATCACAGAAGGGTTCGAGTCCTTCAACGGAGTATTCCGGCTTTCCTCCATATACTCCAATCACCTTGCTCCAAGTCGCGATATCGCGCAAAGCATGTCGCGCATGGAAAGCATGAAACGATCTCTCAATGGCGGCTTCTGGCGTAATCCCAACGATGAAGACCCTTGCACCTGGATTCGAGCAGGCCCGGGCGTACGGGACTATCTAAGATCCCGACCCACAATCCAACGACACCTTGGCTGGACCGAATCTACTTTGATTCCTGCAGGTGCGTCAATCCTAAAAGACAGACATATAACTCAGAATTGATTCATGAATTGTTGTAAGGCACTGTCAAACACAATCCGATGCACCACGAGGGCAAGAGAGTTCGGTCACGCCCCATCGTTGAATTTAACCAAACCAAGGCTGCAAAGGCAGTGAATAGTGACGTGTTTGAACAAGATTCGCGGTGGACCACCTGCTCCAAAGTGTACGCGAAATCCCAGGATGAATGCTTTCCTGGATCTTGGGTCTTTGCCCGTTCGCCTCTAGATGTATGTTTTAGGTGCTATTGACGCAGTTTTGTGGTTGAACTGATGTGCATGTGGATCATCAGGGAAATATGATCATTGGGCGCATCCTTGAAATCCTCGATTCAGCATCGTCTTGCACCGTGCAGAAGAGCATTATTTCCCTGGACCAGTTTCAACTTGGTCAGACAAGGCACCCGACTTTCAACATGCCAACACTTTCACTTCGGCAGGGCGAAGCGACTGTCGTCCTTGTGCCTGCTGAGGTGCGTTGATCGCGAATGTGCTACTCATACACTCATGTCTAACGAGAACATGTACAGAACATTGAGTTTTGTCAGAATGTGCAGCACGACTGCGTTGCTGGAAAATGCATGCCGTCTGGCCGACGGGCTCGAAAACAGGAAAGGAAAGACTCAGGGCAAGTTGAGCACTTTATCGTGCACAACGAAGAATCTCAATCATACGTGGTGAACACGCACGCCTTTCACAACGCTCACCTCCTTCGACGTTGCATCCCACGCAGCCTTATCGCACCGGTTCCACTTTATATTGATCGGAAGGCGCATCATTATTCAGTGGCAGAGACGTACAGGAGGAGACAGGATAGGAAGCGAACGAGGGCCCAGGACAATGCTACCTAGATATTGTGTACAAATCCATTTGATGACGAGCCTGAGAAGTCCGCGAGCCCGGAGGTATCTTCGAGCGAGGGTCCGGGCATGCAGTCGAGTGAACAAGCGGAGCGTGCCGTCGAGCCAGATTGCAGAGCGCCCGGGTGTAACTTCGAGCGAGAGCCCAGGCGTGTCTTCGAGCGCGCGGGTATAGCCACAAGCGAGGGGGGGGGGTTGGGCGAAGCGGACGGCGGGGACGGCGCGGAAGACCCGGGCGGCGCGAGCTTGAGCGACACGAACGGCGGGGACTTGGTCGGCGCGGCGGACGGCGGCGGCGCAAGCTTGAGCCACGTGGACGGGGCGAGCTTCGACGA